CTTTCTTGCATTCTTAGAGAGGTACAAATGGTCAGGTGTCAAGAACTGACAGACTCCTTTGAGATTTCATGGCATTTGCTTGTACAAGTGCTGGTGATTTTGTTTTTTTGTTGCATGTCTGAAAGTTGGCCGGAATTATTGAAACGGAGATGAGTTGCTAAGTTGAGCTTGGTACAGTGTCTGAAGTGTGACATTCATATATGTTTTGTGGTTGAAGAAGACTCATGTAGTTCTAGATCGCTGGTGAAACTTGTGTGCTGGCTGCCGGAGAATGCTGAACGTTGTGGCTACTCTGCTATGCCATGTGGTTACAACATGAGATCAAGTCGTACAGCAGTACACAGTATAGTACAACCATTGACACATTGCGGTCACGATAATAAGTCGTGCCCTGGCTAAAATCTGGTAAAAAGTGCAGATGTCGAGTTTTGCTGGAAGCTGAATGCTTTATTCCCAGATGCTTCATTAGATATCCGTGACCCATGAGAACTCCACGCAGGAACTTCAATATACTTACTCGTACAGCCAATGCCGATGCCAAGTTTCAGTAAGGCCGTGAAAGGACTGTTACATCTGATTTTGGGTTCCTTCGCGATCGACGCACCACTTCTCTGACTTGTCGACACTTGCTTCGATCAGTTTCGTTGCTACACAAATGCATATTGAACGCGTGGTGATTGATGTACTGATGTATATGACAATGATCTAGACCTGTAGGTAGCCCAGTGCATTATCGTACCGCTATATAGTATACTTCACTTGTGCATCATTGCCATTCATGTGTTCTCTGGAGATTTCTCCTCGGTGTTCACAAGATCCTCATATCTAGTAATTCAGCCATCTCCAATCGAAAGCTCTAAATACCATCCATCACAGATCATCAAAATGCCATACCTAATTTTCTACCCAGATATGGCATCTACCATAAAGTATCAAATCAATGAACCTCTGAAAATTCGTATCAAGACTTCTTGAGAATGCAAAAGTAGGCATGTCGATTGTTGATGGATTAGAATAACAAAATGACTAAGATACATTTCATTATTCCTTGTTGTCGTGAAATCTTATCTTTTGCTCCTTGTCTTGAGATGAAATTCCGACACTGTAAAACGGGTGAAGCGAAATCGGAGTCAGAGCTTCAAAAAAATAAATAACTTGGAGTCCCCGCAAGATCAGCTCAAAAGACTCCGTACACTCATAATTCTCACACCTTCATGTATGCTATGAATCTGCGAGTGGATTACTATTGATTACTCGGGTCCGAAAGTGTTTTGCCCTCATCGTTGTCTATCGTAAGATCATATATCAACCTCAATTTCAGATCCTTCGAAACCCGTTCCACCGTACGATTACCCAACGACGAAAACGATGTCCGCCTCTCTCCCAGGCAATCGAGAATTGCCCGCTTCTCAGTACGATCTCAGCACATACTGGGGACGGGTTATGCATTCTGCGGCTATTTCAGACCCTAGGTGAGGAGGAATTTGTTGTGGGTGTTGCACCAAAAAGGTGCCCGCACTTTCTTTCGCAAACAACTCGATCATGGCAGTTGTGAAATATGCAATACATATATACTGATTATGGAATAGAACATTGTTAGTTAACAGTACCGGATTGGATCATGCGAAGAACCTTATCTCGAGTTATAAACAGGGGAAGATCCATGAGATGACTCCTGAATTATGGAATGCAAAAAATATTGTCGATTCAACATTACACCCGGGTATGTGAGAATCTGCGACAAGTACCGGATGGAAGGCTCATATTGCTAGATACTGGTGCACCGGTTTTTCTTCCATTCCGAATGTCATGTTTCGTTATATCAAACTTGGTAGTCACAGCAGGAATGCTTACACCAGGATTGGGAGTAAGCCTTCTCAGAACTCCTCCAGAATATTCTGTTGGCTAACAACTGGCAGACGACAGGAACATTGTTATGGCAAATTACGAATCAATCTCTTAATGTTGCTATTAACAATGCCAATGCCAACAAATCCACCCCTCTTTCGACATCAAAAATTGCACAATCATACTTTCTCGCAGTTGGAGCTTCCTGCTCTGTTGCGCTTGGTCTCAATGCTCTTGTCCCAAGATTAAAGAAGGTTAGCCCAGGCACCAAGATGATTCTTGGAAGATTGGTACCATTTGCTGCCGTTGCAAGTGCTGGAGCATTGAATGTTTTTTTGATGCGAGGAGAAGAGATGAGAAAGGGCATTGATGTCTATCCAGTTCTCTCAGAATCCGATAAGGCTAAACTTGCAGTAGAAGGCAAATCTGAATCCGAAGTTGCTTCATTAGGCAAGAGCAAGAAAGCAGCCACTGTTGCAGTCTCGGAGACAGCTATAAGTCGAGTGTTGAACAGTTCTCCAATCATGGTTATTCCAGCTTTGATTTTGGTGAGATTACAAAAGAAGCAGTTTCTCAAGAGAAACCCCAGACTTACATTGCCAATCAATTTGGGTCTCATTCTTGGCACTAGTATGTTCGCTTTGCCTTTAGCTCTAGCAGCCTTTCCTCAACGCCAAAGCATAGATGCATCGAAGTTAGAGGAGGAATTCTGGAGTAAAGGTGGAGAGGGCGGAAAGGTGGTTTTCAACAGAGGAATATGAAGAATTCTCGGAACGATACTCGGTACATATGTAAAGGACTCGACGTTCATATTTCCAAGACATGATCCGGCTTTATCAAGCACTATCTACAAAGGATCAGCATGCGGCTCGAGTTCTATTTTAACTCCACCAGACATCTACTGGCGGAATATTGAATAAGGCATGGCGTTCATGGCTACTTTGCGAAGGATTCTAATACCAAATAGATGAGAACACGAATACCATATAGAAAGAATTTCAGCTGTGGCTGCTTGAATTTTCGCTTCTTACCCCTTCATGAACGTGATGCATGGCACGTGATTATCAGCATCGAGTCCCTGTTCATATCACACCGCACGAGCTGAATTATATATCGGTATTGCACCAGTTCTCCCAGAAATGATGCGAGTTCTCGTAAGAAACATACCAGTAGTCTTTTCTGTTTGCGTCTACTGCTATCATGAAAAAATCATTCTTACACAAGTTGCGATGATCCCTCCATACCTCGCCTATTAAATTGCCACTTCAGATAAAGAACGATTGAGGGGTTGTTTTATCAGCGGGTGATTTGAGAACAATGGTATGAAATTTGAAGTGGCAACTTGTAAGAATAAAAGGGAGTTTTGCTATGACCTCTATGAAACTATATTGGACATATACAGAAAAGAGTGAGTGTGTAATAAGAAGCACTATTTACTGTAAATATTTTTCTGGTAAAAGCTTCAGGATTTATTTCCTCTTCGGGAATTTTTGGATTTGATATATATAACTGTATATTCTAAAACTACAAGTATTACAGTTGGTTTCTTGGGCTGAGTCCTGGGCAGAAGTCCTGAGTTCCTGGGCAGTGGATTGTTTCTTTGTGAAGCATGATGACAGGACTTGGACCATGCATCCATTCCATCAACCATCAATGTAAGAGAATGAGGTTGGTTACACTGATAGAGGATTGGTTGATATGAATGAATAGGAAAGCTTTTGGATGAATGCGAGGAGGGACCACTGGTACCGGCTCTTATAGGTATTTGATGTGATGTGACTATTGTTTCAGTAGATGTAGATGTGATGAATGGAAGGAATTAATTTCTAGAAAGTCTTTCTCGGGGTAAGATGGGGTAATAAGGTTTGAAAGGTGGTGAGATTACTCGTGGCATATTATATAGATCTAGAAGGAAAGGTGTGCAGTGCAGTAAGAGCCTGGAGTAGTAGATTTGAACATGCGGTATAGATATCCTATAATACATACAGTATAACGGCAGACATGCCTATCATCATACAGGGGAAATAACGAATAAGAAATCGCCCTCATATTTGCATGATAGTAGTTATCGACTCTGGGGGAATAAAAAAGCCTTCAGACTTTGGAGAACCATAATGAGGGAAACGGAACTTCTCCTTCTCCTTGGGTTATACCAACCAGCTTTGGATTGGATGTACTCATTGGATAGGAAGTAAGGAAAATATCACCTGTTTATACAAGTTATCAGGATAGGCTGGCTGTGTTATGTGAGATCAAACAAATCCAACAATTCAATGATACAGTATCAATAGATTTGAGAGATGACTTGAAATATCATTATCAAAATCTATGTCCACCCCTCCCAAATCGAGAATCCCCCTCAACTTTGAGTGAATTGGAATAAGACGTCATTTGGAAATATGAATATATACAGCTTCTATAATTCAAATACTTTTCTTTGATCATTCATTGGATAATTCAATATATTATTGTTATTTTGTGTGATAAAGTAAGCATATTTCATATCTCTATCTAGTTTAACAGTTTAACAAATGGGAACAAGCCTCGAATCATATCTTAAAGCCGTCAAATCCATCAACCCAATCAGTCACACCAATCACCAACCGTCAACCATCCATACATAGTGGAACAAATCAAAAAGAATTTACAACCCCATCAACTCACTCTAAGTCACATAAGTGATTTTGAACCACCCTCCAGAAACCCCAGAACAATCAAGTCCGTCTGGAAAATGAAGAGATTCTTATTTCTGATTCCCTCACACCGATAACTTTATTACAGAGATCCAAAATTATCTTTTTATATTTGGCAACTTCAAGACATCGAATTTATCTTTTTACTCAATATAATTAAATTTCTTTCGTGAAATGTCGCGTATTTGACATTTCCAATCCAGCGCGATACGGTCGGAAAGATAGAAAGAATTACCTTTGACCCCATCCACTTCCAACGTCAACTGTCAACTCCTTCTCCATCATTGCGCATTTATTCTCCATTACAACATTCAAATCATACTCTATCACATAAGACTCGATGGTCTATTGAATTTGATCTGGAGAAATTATACTTATCTGTCAAATACTTCAATACTTCGGACGTGATAGTCTGAGCCCACCCAGGGTCGAAAAGGATCACTTCTTTGCAATTGTGCCATGTCGACTCCATCGACTCTACCTCCGCATCATCCCAATTACGGATACTCTCATCATCAAAATTATCAGTCGAACAATCCATATCGAGCAAGCAATAGTCTGTTGAACGGTAGTAGCCGTTTGGGCGCTTCTTATACCATTCCGACTACCTCGTCGAGTAATAGCACATCGTCAAGTGTAGCTCCTCCTTCAAAGTCGAATCAAATACCCTCACATCCCGCAAAACCCGACTCTACAAAGTCTCCAGCAAAGCCCGCAGTCATGGTTTCCTCCGCATCGCAAGCGCCTCCCCCACACAAGAGACAGAGATCCAAAGAGAGACAACCAGATTGGGATAAATTCTACGAGAATGGTTTACCCAAAGAGGTAATTATTATCGACAGTTCTGAATCGCCAGAACCATCCCAGGACATATCCTCACATATTCAGACAAACGATTCTGCAGTAGCAGCGAATAGTCGGCACGCGGCGAAGAAGAGAAAACGCAATGACGCATATGATCCCGTATATCAGCGTGATCCCTCGATCGATCCGAGTCCACAATACAAATCAGAATCTGTTCCCGGTTCAACGATATCCACTGATCGCACGACGTCTGCAATTCACACGACCGCAGCTACATCCCTTGGTTCCCACTCATCTAATGGGCAAAATGGTTACGAGGCCGCCGAAGTTATAGGGCAGAAGAGGAAAAGGACAAACACTCGATTGCAAATTGCCAATGAAGCCAAGCGGAAAGAACTAGAAGTCAATGGGGACGCATTCAACAACTACATACCACCTCCCAAACCTCCCATAAAATCTCGAGACGTTCCAGTTCGACAGGTACCTGATGTAAGTCTTAATGTTTTTTTTTTACAATTGTGATTGCAAGCTAACATGCGTCAAGAATTCTTACACTAAGAATAACAAAGTTGATGATGACGATGGTCATTACATTGTAATTCCGGAAACAAGCTTAACCACACAATGTAAGTCTCGTTTTTCTAAATCCATCCATCCATTAACCTACCACAAACTGACAAGAGAAACAGACTCGGTCTTAAAATTACTCGGCCAGGGAACCTTTGGAAAGGTTGTACAAGCTCGAGATCACCTCGATAATGACAAACTTGTTGCCATCAAGATCATTCGCTCGGTGCAGAAATACCGAGATGCTTCGAAAATTGAATTACGAGTCCTCTCAACACTAAAAGCAAATGATCATGAGAACCGGAACAGATGTATACATCTACGGGACTGCTTTGATTACAGAGGGCACATATGTATAGTCATGGATCTACTGGGACAGAGTGTTTTCGATTTCTTGAAGGGCAATTCTTTTGTGCCCTTCCCCAATTCCCAAATTCAGAGCTTCGCAAGGCAGCTATTTACAAGTGTAGCCTGTAAGTTTCTCAAGCCATCTCCTCGAAGTCATTCAGCTAACATTAGATCAGTCCTACACGACTTAAACCTAATTCACACAGATCTCAAGCCTGAGAACATTCTACTATGTAACAATGGTTATCAAGCTTTTACCTACAGCCGCAAGATTCCTTCTTCATCAAGCACAATTAGCCGGCAAGCGGCACAACGGAAAGTTCTTCTGGATACAGAGATTCGACTTATTGATTTTGGTTCCGCTACATTTCAGGATGAATATCACTCATCTGTTGTATCTACGCGTCATTACCGAGCCCCGGAGATTATTCTCGGACTTGGCTGGTCTTTCCCATGCGATATCTGGAGTATCGGATGTATCCTTGTCGAGTTCTTCACAGGCGATGCCCTTTTTCAAACACATGATAATCTGGAGCATTTGGCCATGATGGAAATGGTATGCGATAGGAGACTAGATAGCCATCTCATTCAGCAAGTCAACACTATGGCGAAGCGAAGTAGTGGAAATCCGGCTCAAAAGTAAGGACCCCAAAAACCTCCTACGAAACATGTACTGATGCCCTTCTCTCAGATATTTCAGGCGTTTAAAACTTGACTACCCAACAGCTGATACCACAAGGGCTTCTCGGCGATTCGTCAAGGCGATGAAATCCTTAGATGTAAGTCCATCTAAATATCATGTAGCAAACCTTACTAACAAGTCAAAGGAAATCATCAAGGATCAATCGAAATTTAGTAGGAATTTCCTGGATCTATTGAAAAAGATATTTGTCTATGATCCAAATGAACGTATCACAGCTAAACAGGCCCTCCAACATCCATGGTTTAAGGAAGCTGCAACAGCAGATGATGGTACGGAGGCAACCAAAATTAGATTACAAAGGCTGAGCGGAACATATGTGGCACCACAGAGGCAGCACTGAGCGATTCATGAACAATGACGGCGTATATGGCATGGAGCGAGGGATATCTGATTACTCTGCATTACTTGTTTAGTTTTAGCAGCAGATCGTGGTGGTAATGACTTTTGTATTATTTTACATAAATATTTCTGCTTCCGGAATTAATCTGGGCGTCTTGATTACTTCACAAAATAGACACAGGATGGATTTCCAGCAAGTCAACACTCAACACTCAACACTCAACTTACAATAGTCTCAAAAGCCTCGATAGCGATAGTATATAAATAATCTTTGTCTAAATGATGATTATATTTATTACTTCACTTCCTGAATTGTCATGTGCTAGTAATACAGTACAAGTCTCGGCTACCGTAGAATTACTTACTGTATCAATCCTTGTCATATTTTTTTATAGAGCTGTTCGATGATATTTGAAGATGGTAGGACTCTGACAAGAAAATATGAATTGAACATTTACTTTCAATTCAATTTAATGCAGAAATTCCCGTCAATCAGAAGACTGGAACTCAATTCTAGATTTCGGAATCTTAGGCAATCACTTCATGAGTCACTAAGAACTTTCCCAAGAAAAGAGGGCTATACTTTTCCTCCACATCCAGGAAGATTATTCCCTATACCCAACCAATACGTCTTCGAAAATAACGACAATTTACAAGCCTCTCCGGGATCATCTCACGAGTTTACGATTGCCGTGAAAGAAAAGCGATATCTTGTCCTTAGAGAAAACCCAAAGAATTTGTATCACAGCACAAGACAGAGGCAATCGCCAATACATAGCAGTAGGAACAGAGAGCAACGACCAGGAGATCTACTAAAGATGCGCAACTATATCCAATTCCTCACCACGCCCACGGCGGATACGCCTGGGACTACATTACTTCTACACTTCGATAACAAGAGATACTTGATTGGCAACATTGCGGAGGGAACTCAAAGAGCATGTGTGCAGAACAAAATTTCCTTGATGAGAGTTGGGGAGCTTTTCCTGACTGGGAAGGTGGACTGGGCTTCGACTGGAGGAGTTTTGGGTATGATTCTGACTTTGGCGGATGCGACGAGCGCTTCGAGAGAGGAACGATTCAAAATTAAGAGTGCAAGTTCGCAAAAGAAGGGAGAAACCGCCGAGAAACCCGACAAGGCCTTCCTAAATATACATGGAGGGGAAAATTTGACTCATCTGCTCGCGACGGCTAGGAGATTTGTGTTCAGAAATGGGATGCCATTGTATACAAATGAATATCGGGCGGATAGGGAGCAGAGAACGAATTGGGATCCTTCATGGAGTGATGAAAATATCAAGGTGTGGGCCATGGCAATTGAGTCGGAGGGGAGTGCGAAATGTCCTGGGAAAAGAACTCATGAAGAATTTGCGGATGATTCTCTGTCTGAAGAGGGCCAAGAGTTGAAGCTTAAGGAAGCCCAAGAACTTCGGGATGAAGAGGATAATAAACATCAAGTACGAAAGTCTGTCGTATCTTCCATGTTCGATTCAGATTGGAAATTGGACACCCTTTATTCGATGAGGCTCAAGGATGTTAGAATGCCTGCTGCTATCTTTGTTAGGAACTCAGATGGTAAGATTCAAAAATACCAAGGGCCTAAACCTGGAGGTTATGAACAAGTTCCCGATATTGAAGTCCTCACGCGGAAACCTTGGCCAGGAGCACTGGTCCAGTCTTTACCTCCGACAAAACCTTCTACCAGTTCTGTCTCATACATCATAAAAAATCACACTCAGCGTGGAAAGTTCAATCCTAAAGAAGCTGAGCGATTGAATGTCAAGCGAGGTGCTGATTATCGGACTTTGGCAGCAGGACGAAGTGTGATTGCAACTGATGGGACCACTGTCACCCCAGAACAAGTTTTGGGATCGAGTAAAGAAGGTAACGGGGTTGCAATTATCGAATTACCTGATGTCTCTTATATTAGATCATTACTCGCTCGTGAGGAATGGGCATCAAGAGATGTCATGGTCGGTGTTGAATCAGTGGTATGGATATTGGGCCCTGGTATTTTAGCAGATCCCAGGGTACAAAATTTCATGGAAGAGCACAAAGAGTTTACACACATTGTATCCTCGCCGGACAATTGCTCAAATTATCTTGCATTCAGTTCGGCAGCAGCTCAGGCTATTCGTCTGCATCTTCTCGATTCCGAACGTTTCCCAATTCCTTCATTCAGCAATGTATCCAAGCCACTACCCGAGCCGGTACTACATCAAAAGGCAAGATTAGGGAAAATAATGCTGATCGAACCAAAATTCGAGATTCAAAATGAAAAGTGCATTCCTTATCTTGATACCGAGCAGGTGGTAAGGGAAGCAGATCGTGAAGTTCTTGCTTTGGCAAATGAAGCTAGAAAAGAGGTCATGAGTCCGGAATATCAAGCAAGGCTTGACGAAATTCAAAAGGATATACCATGCAAGGATGCAGAAGTCATTACTCTTGGAACTGGTTCCGCTTTACCTTCGAAATATCGAAATGTTTCAGCTACTCTACTCCGTATTCCTGAATATGGCAATTACCTCTTCGATGCTGGTGAGAATACACTTGGTCAGATGAAGAGAGTATTTGGCAAAGATCTTCCAGGCATACTCTCTAATCTTAAAGCAATTTGGATCAGTCATCTCCACGCTGATCATCACCTTGGTACCGTTTCGGTCATCAAAGCGTGGCACGAAGAGACATCCAAAAATGAAGCAATGAGAAATAATAAACTCGTCATAGCGTCGGATCACGGTATGATTCATTGGCTGACGGAATACTCCGAAGTCGAGCATTATGGATTTGAGAGACTAGAGCTTGTCGAAATGACGTCCGCAGTTAATGATCTTTACGAACAATTCACACCCGCACAAACCGAGGCATTCGGTATTTCATCTATCGAAGCTTGCCAGGTAAGCCATTGTCATGGTGCTTTGGCTGTTGCATTCAACTTCCCCAATGGTTTCAAGGTTGCCTATTCAGGTGATTGCCGACCATCGCAAGACTTTGTTAGAATTGGCAAAGGTGCCACATTATTGATACACGAGGCTACATTCGATGATGAACTTCAAGGTGATGCTATTGCCAAGAAACACTCCACGACCTCGGAAGCAATGAATATTGGCAAGAGTATGGGGGCAAGACGTATCTTACTTACACATTTTTCGCAAAGATATCAAAAGATACCGGTTATGGACAGCGAAGTTACAGATCAGGTTGCTATTGTTGCATTTGATTATATGAAGGTTAAAATATCTGATTTCTCGAAGTTAGCGGCATTTAGACCGGCATTGTTGAAGCTTTATGAGGAGAAAGAATAGATTAGAGCCTATGATGGACTATTTTTTGCAATTTCACAACTACAAGGACGTTTG